CCGGGTGTCCGCTGCCGCAGGAGGCGCGGGGCGGAGCAGGGGGCTGTTGCACCGGGGCAAGAGCGTGTGCCCGGGCGCGGGGGGAACGGGCGGACCCGTCCCGTCCCGTCCCGTCCCGCGAGCCGCGTCCCCTCCACGCTGCAGCTGCCGCGGTCGCTGCAGGCGGGACGGCCGGGCCGCGGGGCTGCCTGCAGGGAAGGGCAGCACCTCCCGCTTCTCTTCTTCCTCTTTCCCGGCTTTGAGCTGCGGCGGAGCTGCCCGCTCGCACGTGGGGGGACTGGCATCTCCGCGCCCCGACCCCGCCTCTCCTCCCGCGAACCCCCGGTTACCTGCCCGGGAAGCGCACTGCAAAATGGAATGCTGCGAGCCAGGGCGGCCGGATCCTGCCCGTGGGCCCGAGCCGCCACCTGGGCTGGCGCTGGGGGGGCACCCCCGGCCACGTGGAGGGGGCGCGGGACAACCCAGCCGCCACCCGCGGGGTGTGGCTTGGCCCGGGAAAGGGGCGTGGTTACGGCTGGGATTGCAGGGGACGAGGCTGGCGTTGGGAATTTGGCTGGGGCCAGTTCGTGTCCCAACTCACCACCATGGGCCACATGGGTTGGCTCCGCGGCCCTGAGGTTGAACACCCCGATCTCAACTTGTAAAAGACCAAAATCCACCTGGATTCCTAGGTTGGGGATAGAGCGTCGGCTCCCACTTCCTTCCCGTGTCTTTACTATTTATTCTTCCTTTTCAGGTGGCTGCTTGCTCTCCCACCTCGGCGTGTTCTCTCACCTGCCCCTCCTGTCCCTTTTCTTTTCCTTGGGAATAAAAGTAAAGCATCCCCCTGTCTCCTCACCGTGCATCCTGTATTTTTGCCTCCTTTGAAGTCCACTTTCCTGCCTTTGTGATGTTTTTCCTTCAAACCGCTGGTTCTAACCTCGTCTCTTAGGATCAGATTTTTAATGGTGCTTAACTACTTATAGATCTAAAGATGATGGTGGGCTCTAAGTTGGACTTCCGTAGTCCTAAGCACTGCTGAAAATCACACTACATTCCCTTCAGCACCTTTAGGCACCCAAGTAACTTTATACATCCGCCCTTTCCTCCCGTGCGTCTTACTTGCTCTGTTCTGTTCTTGCTGGGTAAGACTCACTCCAGTGAAGAGCGTGAGAACACCGCTTCATAGATGTGCCTCTTCCCAGTGCCCTGCAATGGGGTGAATTTAACTGTTGTGTGTTTTTTTAAATCTGATCCATTCACTTCTCTCTTACTTCCTTTCTCTATGAGGATCTGGAATATTAATATTGGATGGGATGCCAGATGATTTCTCTTCTTTGCATGCTATCTCCTGGCTCCTCTGCTCTGCATAGACTGAGACATACATTAAACCAGAGCATAGGAGCACAAAAGTAATTTGCTATATAAGAGTCAGACAGTTGCTAAGAGCAGAAGGGTTGGGAGGACTAACTGCTATTGCCTGTCTTCTGGGGCATAATGCACTACATTAGGTTTCCACTTGATTCAGGATCTGGTGGCTGTGCCTGTATTGCATAGGATCCAGAATTAGCTGTTTTTGGCTTATGATATTTAATGCAAAAGCAAAGTTGGAAAAAAGCAACACATTTACAGAGAAACCAAAAAGATTAATAATGACATGACTCTTTTCATGACTTAATATTTTCTTAAAATATGAAAATATTTTGACTTTGGAAAATCCCATTTCCCTAATCATATTAATCAGCTGTTAAACCATTTATATCAGGGGTGGGTGATTATTTGGACTGGAGGGCCACTTAGGAGTTTTAGTGAGCTGTCAAGGGCTGGATCAGCCACCCCTCCCAGGGCCCACAACAGCTCACCAAAACTCCCTAAGTGACTTTGCTCTGCACTCAGCCAAGTGGATGGGATGGAGCTGCAGGCACCCGGGGTGCAGCATCTGGGAGCAGGATGGATGAGTGGAGCTGGGGCTGGGATCGGGATCATGGGGCCATGACAGCACAGGGCCATGGCCCAGGGCAGAGCCATGACCTGTTCCCTGCGTGCCCGTGACAGGCACCAATTTCATGAGCAGAGGCACGTAGGAATTGTATCACAACTCTGTCCCAGGCCCCAGGCCCATGCCATCATTGCCTAGTGATCCTGGGGTCTCCATGGAGACCAGCTTGGGCCCCACACAGGCAGGGCATGCTTGGCCGGGTGCATGAGATGAAGCTGCAAGTGTCCAGGGAGCAGGATCCAGGAGTGGGTAAGTGGGGCCAGGGCCATGGCAGCATAGGGCCAGGGGCCAGGGCCCAGGACAGAGCTGCGATCTGCTCCATGCTCGCCCCCACCCATGGAACTGGTGCCCGTCACAGGGATGAGTGGACAGCAGAGCATGGTTCTGCCCCAGGCTCTGGCCTGACACTGTCACCAAACTGAACCTGATCCCAGCTCTGGTCCTGGCCCCGCTCACCCATCCCAGTCCCAGATGCCATGCCCCACCAGCTCACAGTCCCATCCCATCTGCCTGACTAAGCACATTCTGCCCATGTGGGTTCTGGGCCAGTCTCCATGGAGACCTGGCCCACTCCATCCAGCACCCCCAGCAATGGATGCAGGGCAGATGTGCCAGGGTGCCCAGGCAGCAGGGCCGGGTAGAGTGACAGCAGTGGAGACTGACAGCCGCACTAAGAAGGAGCCGCCACTGTGGGGGCTGGAAAGCAAGTCCAGCCACCCCACTACCCCAGTCCTGCTGTGCACCCAGGAGCAGCAGGACTGGCCACATGTGCCATAGCCAGGCTGCCCCAAACACCTGAGCTGGGTGGGGCAAAGGACCCACTATAGGCCAGATAAAATCCCTAGGCGAGTCAGATCTGGCCTGTGGGCCATACTCCCCAACCCCATCTGTATTATCAAGCTAACCTTAAATCTCTTGCTTTCTTAAAATAGTATGAACACTGAAAAATAAGAAAAGATTAAGCTTATTTACTTTCACATGTGTAATCAATAAGAAACAAGTTTATTATTTTTGCTAAAGAATCAGTTTATGGTCTAATGAGTTTGATACCACCTATTACGTTTTGCTCATGTTCAATTAATTATATTACTACAGAACATTTGTATTTTCTATAGTAGATACTATTACTGTATTTTCTATAATAGAGAATATTACTTTGTAGAAAAATTACATTGCAAAGTGTCAATGTCGAGACCTTACTGTTTTTATATATTAACCATGCTATTAAGTACCTTATAACAAAGAAAACTCTAAACAAATCCATAAATAAGGAATACAGTAGCAGATCTCAAAAGTCATTTTTAAAACTGGAACACTAATATTTTCTCCCAAACAAGACATGAACAATTATGTTTGCATAAACATTTCTTTTAAACTGATTTGACTTTCAGTTTTCCTTTTTCAGCAGCTGGCTGTGAAAACTGACCTTTATTAACTAACTCTCACTCAACAGGCTTTAATTTTTTGGCTTCATGACAGTTTAACTTTTTTTCACCCTTTCAAAACATATTAACCAATGATTGCTACTGTGTGACAGAGTGCAGAATTAACATTTATCAAGTGAACTCATCAAGTTCATGCCTCGATAGCCTTCTTCTGACTATGGCAGTAATCGAGTCCTCTGTAGAACAATTAGTCACACTGAACAAATGGAAGAGGCTGTCATGTATTGGCACAAGTCTGTCACCCTACCCTGTCCTTAGACTATAGCAAATTAGATGTTACTTCTGCTTCTCTTCTATTTCTTGTAATCCAGAGAGCAAAAGAACAATAATGCAATCTTAATGCAGATCACTCTCATAATAGTCAAGCATGCTATAATTATGCTACTGAGGCAGACTCACAAATTTTGAAATTAAAACAAACACAAAGCCTCAGGAAGCTAAGGCAAATTTGAAGCCGCTCTAAGATTTAAACAGAAAAGTTATTTTACCAGCAAGTGACATCATTGCACTTTTGCCATCCAGTTGTGCTTTCACTGATCAAATGAATATATCTGGTAATCAGAGAAATCTCCACATTTAAGGATGTCAGGTGGTTAAGATTTTGCTTTTAACTTTCAAACACACACCTTATGAAATATTTATATACGTCTATCTCAGGTAAATGAAAGCAATCAGCTAGCTATTTTAAAAGCTGAATGTCTTAATTTCTGTTTAATGTAACTGCTTATGTGACTACACAAATCTTTATTTGGTAGCATGTACTCAGGCAGATTGGCTCTGAGGTAAGGAACAATTTTTTTAGTTCGATGTGCAGGGTAACCTTCAGCCTTAGTATATCAAGTACAAAACCACTCAAGTCAAAGGAGTTGCACTCACACAAGGGTTGATTATAACCCATAGAGAGTGTTAAGTTTACAAAAGTATTTTCTCTATCTCTACATTTTCTTAATATACAAAATATGTGTTCAGCACTTGTGTATTCACAAGAAATCTTTTGCATACATACCACCAGGTAAGTTAGTTTATATAAATTTGATTTGAAGGCAATCTAATTTAAAACATTCAAAGTTCTGATGATGAAAAAAAAATCTGTTGAACTCCAGGAGGGTTCTTAAAATCCAAAATCCTCACACTGTATATAGAACTTCCAATACTGTTCCATTAAATGACATGGCAAAAATTCTTCATTATTTATTAACAGTATCTCACTGAAGTGAAGAAAATTTGTAGAGTTTTTTACCAAATCAAACTGAATAGGAGATTCTGTTGAAAACAAAGAAGCAAATGATTAAAAACATGATATTGAAATAATAACTAACTGGGATCTTACAGTCAAAGTTACTAGGCATGCACTTTGTGGCACAGACGCACTGTATCATCTGCAAGAAGCCCCACAGAGGTTAGCGGGACTCTGTCGAGGAAGTAGTGTACCAAGACACCGTGAACTGCAGGATTGGGCCCAAAGCCCCAGTACTACAAGCAGGGTGGTATTATTTGCCTGAAAAATTGCAGGATTACAGCCTTCATTTAACTGCATAAAATGAAGGAAGGTTTTTTTGGTTTAGAAAAAAAATTCCCTGCTTGTGTTATTTAAGCAATAATAATATCATGTTATACAGTGAATTGTCAACAATGGAACAAGACAACTATTCATCACTAGCACATAATTTGCTGTTCAAAGCCAACAGTTAGGAAAACAAGGTCTTCAGAGAGCTGCTTGTTTTCATGACTTTATACTTTATCCCTTAAATACACTTAAAAAAAAGCATCAGAGCTGCACATCATATTACCTCATACTGGGCTTTCAGATACAATTATCACTGAAATGAACAGCACACTTGAAAGTCATGAATTATATTCTTGAAAGGAGCTAGGTTCAGAAATAGTAAGTGCTAACCATGGTGAAGTTATCACAATTAGCAATTGCTCCCAGGAAGAGAACACCGTCATAAGAATAAGGGTGGAGCTATAATAATCATAATAAAAAAATCAGTGTCCAAACTCTGTTCAAACACTTGGAGACCCTCTAGCTTTGTTCTGACAGAGCTAAAGAATGTTCTGTTCAATCTTATTAGCTCAGCTGAGTTAAGTCCTGTTAAGATGCAGACTAACACGTTTGCAGCCATGTTCACTGTCATGTAAACTAGACTTTCCCTTAGGTTATAGCATGGCTATAAACATCCTACTTTGGATTTTAACATGGCTTTTTCATTGTGTTCAGGTAATTCTTTTGATCTAATGTAAATAAAAAATACACCTTTGTGTCTAAAGATCTGCCTATAAATAGGAAAAAAAAATATTAAAAAATCATGCATAACTTCCTCAGTGCAAGAAGCAGGACAAAGTGGCACCTTAGAGACTAACCGGTTCAGAGAGGCATATGCTTTCATAGACAACAAGATACTTCATCAAATACTATGAATGGGCTTACTGAAATCAAGCAGATATCATTAGTTGGTGGATAAACACAGACCCTTTTGAATTTTCACTAGTCATTAAGCCTCTTTAAATAATTTTGCAATATGTCCATGTCAGAACACAGGCTATATAAAAAACAACGGGGGATTTACAGTAGGGTACCTTGCATCTGTACAGATAACAAGCAAAGCCTGATGGTGTCAAATAAATTGTGCCTGAATCTCTGAAGAGATTATACTATTCACACAAAGGCCTGTACCAACCTCATTAGTGGTGATGAAAAAAAAGGAATAGTGATATTTGGGTAGAAGTCAGAATACAGTTTGATGGAAACCATATCTTGACATCTTAATCCTTTACCTCAAGTGTAAAATGTTTAAAATATAATAATGTGAAATCTATAAATGTGTTTTGTGATACAATCTGGATCCATAGTAGCATTACAATTACAATCTTTTGATAATACCCAAAATATACCTAACTTTTATCCCCTCTAAATTTGCTGAAAGATGTTCCTTTGTCTCTTAATTTTTCATAGGAATTTTTGTAGAAAATATTGGCAAAGTTTGAAACTACTTGGTACACTAGTTCCTGTTAGTAACTACTTTATAAAACTATTTGGAGATTTTTTAAATCAGGCTTTTTGTGGGACAGCTGCTATAAAGAGGTCAGAACACTTCCAAATATGAAAACATGTCTTCTCTCAAGTTCCTGCATCTCTAAAATATATATATATATATATATATTAATTAGCTTCAATTTTTGCCAAACAAATAGGTCAAAAACTAAAAAATCTGTCAGATCTTGTAAGAACTGGAAGCCATATAACTGCTGCTAAAGGATCTAAGAAGCTTTGGCAGAAACGATCTAATGCCCACTTTTTAGACCAGTATAGGCCAACCTTTTTGTCAGGCATGCCACAAGTTAGTCCTGCACTCTCACCGAGTGCCACTTCAATCCCTTTTGGCTGCTCCATTTTCTGCTCCCTGCGCTGTGGCCACATCTACATGAGATGCTGACTGTGCAGTAGTGGTTACTACTGCACAGCAGGGTCATGTGGCAGGAAGTGTGATGCAGTGCTACTGCACAGTAGTAACAAGCTATTGCAGCCAGCATCACCTAAAGCTGTTTGGTGATGCTACTGTGCAGCAACTCCGGTTACTGCACATTTAGTATGTGTATAAACAAGACTACCATTTAGTGCTTGTATAAATAAGTACTAAATGACTGCACACTAATGACTAAGCAGTCAATGTCTTCTGTAGATGCCACCTGTGTTCCCTATACAATGTTACTCTGCTTTCTGCTCCCCATCCAATCTGCTGCTCTACTTTCTGTTCCCTGCCCTATCTGCCACTGTGCTGCCTGCCTCCTCCCCAGTCTCCTGCATCTCACACACACAGGCTGCTCACGCCACTATGGCATACATGCCACAGGTTATCCACCCCTGCTATTGACCTGTACAGATAGATGTCAGATGAAGAATAACTTCTAAGTCCTCTATCTAAGCATCTTACAAAATGAGACTGGATCTTAGTTTTAAACTTTCTCATACATTTTGGGTTTTGAAATGTGACTCCAAGGACAATTTTCCACCTACACCTGATAGTACAGCCTTGAGATGCTTTCTAAAACATAATTTTCCTTTTATCCTCAATAATTCATCTAAGTTCACGTCTTCTCAGATAATCTGTTACCTCCCATCTTCTGTATGAAGAAGAATAAAATGTGAGGAGTTAGTAAACCATCAAGGTATGTGAAACTTAAAAAATACTTTGAATACTATAGCAAGGAAAGTGGATGCAAATATTTGATATGGTTCCAAGGTGAAAAGGTTCATTTTGGGAGAAAATGTATCTGAGTCTCTGTTAGTACCTACCGAGAATTTCCTGAAGGCATGCCCTTCATCCTGAAACATGCAAGGAGGCTTTGAAATCAACAAGTAAGCTTATCTGATTTAGTTTGTAGAATTTGACATTAAGCCACAGCCTAGGTAAGATAATAGATTTCTCAGAAAGGTCTACTGACTTCCTCAACTGTAAACAGCTATAAAGAATTCAGTGCCTTATTTCTTTTGCTCCTCCGTTTATATGTTGATTAATTTTAAAGGATTCTTTTCACCTTGATAGCTGTTTGCTGTGACTCCTTAACAAAGGCACAGAAGAACTAGCAATATATCAAGGAAAGAGAGCAACTACTGCTGTAAAAAAAAATTACCTGTGGTTACTGGCAACTACTGTTGCCTTGGGTGGTATGAGAAACTAGAATCCATTCAAATGTGATGTACAGAGGTTATACTCTAACACTTCGGAATTTTTTCTTTTTAAAAAAAACAAAATAATGACACTTCAAAGTACAGTTACAACTATTAATCAATTATAATATATACCAGTGTTATTAAAATGCTACAATTATAAGACAGAACGGTATGAGAGTCAAAAATGTGCATTCAAAACTGAATAAACAGATGGTTCATACTGAGAGATTTCATAGATTTCACAGACATAGATTTCATAGCCATTCGGGCTGGAAGGGACCCCGGAGGATTGAGTCCAGCCCCCTGCTCAGGGGCAGAAAGTCAGCAGGGGTCATAGGATCCCAGCAAAAGAAACATCCAAAAGTGTCTTGAAGGCATCCAAACAGGTGCTTGAACCACCTCCGGCGGCAGTCTATTCCAAACCTTGGGGGCTCGGACGGTAAAGAAGTTCTTCCCTATGTCCAGCCTGAAACGGTTGCAGCGGAGTTTGTGACCATTCGATCTGGTCATCCCTTGGGGCGTTAGAGAGTTCTAAGCTAAAACATTTCAGCCACTGCAGAAATTGAGTTCAGCATTTCAGGCCGTTTCAGAAAATATTTCAAAAGTCAAATCTTCTAAAACTGTAAATAAAGGCAGAGCCAATTAAATTTATAGAAAATATTTATTTTCTGCCTTAGTTGATGACCTTGTTTACATTTTTGATGGTCAAAATCATGCTACTCTGAGGTAAAGATGTTATAAATTAAATACCAGTGTATTCTCCTTTTTTACAAATACAACCTGATCTCAGTGGATAATTACTCTCGTTAGTCTCATTGCAATCATTTTAGAAATTAATTTACAGTCAACATTTAGCAAAATATATCTGTAATTTACTCATCCCAAATCAGTCCTCCTCAGTTCTGAGACTAATATTAGACATACTTTCACTGTGGTTCCTAGCATTTTTCACTTGGTTTGAGTCACAACTTGGATGAATTTGAGGCTGACCATTCAACTTCTTTTTCCCCTCACACTATTCTGACACAGTTGCCACTATCTACCTGTTTTTCTCTCATGCTTCTCCTTTATCTTCTTTTTGCTTCCTCTTATTTTCTCCCTTTGACATGTTTGCTGATTCTGCAGATGTTTGTATGTCCTTTGCTGACTCCTCTCCTTTTTACTCTAGTTTCTTTCTAAATCTTTGGACAACTACTTCCTTTTGCATGTCCTTGTGACAAGGTATTTAGCAGAATTCACAGGTTCACTGGAATCTGACAGGCTGCGCTGTAAGCACTCCTGCTATAGCCTCAAACTTGCAACCTCAGTCAGGGCTGTCAACCATGCATCTTAGCACGCACAACACCCCAGCCCCTGGAAGACTACTGGCTCCTTGAGATGGCTTTGCATGACACCAGTAAACGTGCCTCTAAGCTAAGTGTCTGAGGGGCACAGAAAATAATAACTGGGACTAGAGGAATGCTGCCTCACTCTGCAAGTAACTGAATCAGAGGCCACAGTGGAAACCGGAATGGGAGTTGCATGAGTTTCAGAGAGGAACCTGAAGTTTATCAGTGACAAATTATCACTGAGAATTGCTATATTTGCA